AGTCCTTGTGGTCTGGACTCCATGTCCACATCAGGATGTCAGCACTGGCCGTCCTGTGAGTCCACTCTTTCCCCACATATTTCCTGTCTTCAGAGCATAGTGCTATGAACCCTGGTGGTGCCATCTGGGTGTTGAGCCAATGGGGCAGGAGAAGGGAACAGCAGGAATTGAGAGCACAGTGTGTGCTCAGACCCATCCCTGTTCTTGGAGCATACCTCAGACATGCATCATCCTGATCCTTCTCTCACCTCAGCAGTGAACCAAGGCTGCAATGCGCCTACCCAAGGACACTGGCCAGGTGCCCCAGAAGCTGGGAACCCAGCTCTCCCGTGTACACGGGGATCCCTCCTGCTTCAAATGAGGGTGAATAGACCAAGTACCATAGTGGAATTGGCCAGACTAACAAGGAAGCTGCCTGAGGAGGCTGGCATCACTAGCATCATTGAGCTACAGACCCTCAGTACTCAGTAAGTGTCTGCTGTCCCCTGAGTGTGTCAACCAAGGGATGCGCGCACAGGCCTAGGCACGTGCATGCCTGAGCTGGGGCTCACCAGGTCCCGTGGGCCCAAGTTGTGCGACTTCATCAGAATGCCAGGAAAGAGGTCTTTGAAGACGTGAAGCACTTCGAACATGAGGCCCTGGCTGGAAGACTGGCTCTGCAGGCGGTTGACAATACTCTCCATCTGCTGCCTTTGGGATTCCTTGAACACTACCAGGTAGGTGTTGGGCACCTTCCAGGCACTCTGGCCCCAAGGGAGGAAAAGGAGCATGAGGACATCAAAAGAAAGACGCCTCCCCTGGGTACAGATCAACTTAGAGACGAAGAGACCCAGGACATAGAGAAACTACAGATGCCAGCTGACTCGGTGAGGCTTAAACCTCTCCCCAACACACACAAAGCCCCACTGACATCACCCACAACAGATCCACACACATCCAAACATGGCGTCCATCCCCAAAGGAACTGTGGGTGACCCTCAGCACTCATGTGAGTGCACATTGAGCCGGCTCCACCCTGGCCATTCCTCAGATCCTGTCTTGAGACTCAGCAGTGAACTGCCAGGAGTCCGTGGAGCACTGGCCATCCTAACTCCCCACTTTGGTGCCTTCAGTCCCAAGACCACACCAAGCCAGTGGGCAAATGAGCAAATGCTCTCAGGGATCTTCACTCCAGACCTTCCCTTACACTGAAGCTAGAGAAGAAATGGCATCCACATGGCTCCTCATCCCCAGCCTGCCCGCACCTCAGAGCGCCGGTATATGATGCTTGAGGGCCAGCCGTGGATCTCCCAAGGTCGGGCGAGCTTCAGCCCCTCTTTGAGTCTGTCCAGATGGTCTTGGGCTCCGGACTCATCCCATTCCTTTTGGACTTCGACCTTCACAGGGCTCAGCAGCAGCAGCAGCAGCAAGGACAGCAGTGGCCACTGTGGCCACCCACAGCCATCGCTGCCCATGGGGCTGGAAGAGAGGTTGGCACCCTGGTGCTGACACCCGGAACCAGGACGAGCCAGGAACAAGCACAGAGCCAGGCAGGACAGCTGGGCTGTCTGGCTCACTAAGTAGCAGCTGCCTAAGCCAGGTGCCTCCAAGTATCAGGAAACCTAGGGTGCAGAGTGTTGAACACCTGGAACCCGGGGCAATCCCATCTGATTATATACTAATAGAGCCAACCCCCTCCACACAACCCCACAGGCTAACAGGAGGGAGTCTGCATGTCTGAGTTCAGAAGTTCTGACATGGGATGACCAGCGGTCAGGGAACCGCCCCTGCCCTCTCAGTGTTCATTCGCACCTCTGTCAGAATGTGTCTGCTCTTCTGAAGCATCTAGCCCTGCCTGAGGGGCACACTGAGCTGGAGTCATCTCCCCATTTCACAGATAGAGAAATTGAGGACCAGAAATATCTTATCAACATCACGAGGCTAGAGGCAAAACAGATCTGATTTTTTCAGCTGTTTCTTAGGAGCCCTAAGGGGCAGTGAGGTAAAGTTTGTATCTTGCCCCCAGAATCCTCAGGCTCCTCCTTGGACTAAGGGAGCTGGAAGAACATTGCCGGGGTTCTGTGGCTCAGTGTATGAGTCCTCAGGTTTAATAAGGCCTGGCAAATAGGAAAAGCTCCCTGCCTGCACATCTAACTCTCAGAGAACTGTCTGGGTCAACTTCATGTGACCAGCACCTAGTCAGAACATGGTAGGTACCTTTAATGACTGATTAGGTTAGTGATGGAACTGTGTGCCCAGCACTGTTCTGCAGGCTGGGTTACAGCAGTGAAGATGATGGGCAGACACAGAGTGTGGAGATGGTGTCATCTGGACACCAGTGATGAGGGGTGGGGACACATATTGTGGGCAGGGAAGGAAGAGCTGGGCTTAGATGCAGGGCAGTGTGAAAAGCTCCTTTGAGGGAGGGAGCTGAGGAAATTGGCTGTGAGGACAATGTAGTGTGGCTCCCGGGGCAGGGCTGTCCAGCAGGAAGGCAGTAGGATGGGCAATGTGGAATACAGATCTAGAGAGGTTTGAGTCCCCTGTGGGAACAGGGTGTGTGACATCAAGTCTGCAGAGTGGACACAGGTTCCAGAGGGACAAGGGCAGATGGGAGGAGAGGGCATCTGAGCAAGGCCTCCTAGGTGCAAGGACTGAGTCCCCAGGGCCTGTGGTGAGGGCCCTCCCAGGCCTGGACTCCCCACGGGACACAGTGGTCACAGACAGGGTTAGGGTAGCCCAGGGGTAATGTGATGTGTGTCAAGGACTATGGAGGACACTGAGCTGGGAGAGGCAGCCCTCGGCATCAGGAGGAATGCTTCATGGAATCTGGTGCTAGAGACAGGCAGATGTGGGGAAAGCAGATGCTCAGGACAGGGAGCTATAGAGCCATGGGGAAGGGTGTGTGGAGAGAGGCTGTTGAGGATGGGGCTGCTAGTCAAGGATCAGGAGGGCTAGAGCACAGAGGGGCTGTAAGGAGAGAGGAGGGACAGAGGCACAGGCTAAGAGCTTCTTTCTCCCCATGAAGTTCTGGAGACTCTGGGGGAAGCAGTGGCAGTGCCCAGCTGAACCAGCAGAGGACACCCAGTGGCCAGAGTGAGGCCTACAGCCTACAGCCTGACAGGCAGGCAGGGCAGGGCCCACCTCAGCCTGGGCAGCACCTGCTCAGCCTTCCCACCAAAGCCCACAGGGAGGTGGTAAGAGCATGGTGGTAAGAGAGGCAAACACAGCAAAGGCAGGTTAGGTGTGGTGGGGGCCCAGACAGAGGGCAGTGCGTCCCAGCAGCCTTCCTGGAGGTGGCAGCTCAACATTGTGGTCCAGCTGTAACAGGCAGCACATCCACAGAGCACAGCAGGGTCCACTTGGAGATGCTGTGATGAAACAGGGCTGATTTTAATGTTTGAGGCCACAAAAAGACAGAGCAAGGTAAGGGGATTCTGGAAGCTTCCCAACAGAAGAGAGTCTTGGCTGGCTTGCTATATGTACATACTTGCTCATTAGTACCATTGCATGAACATCTCTAAGCCCAACACAGTTTGAGGGCCTCTACCTCTTCCTCTCCTCCCCTCTCTTGATCCTGGAGGCTCCTTGCAGACACTTGTGGGGAGAAGATGGAGCCAGGGCCTCCTCTTACCTTTTCCTGCTCACCTCTGAGCCTTTCCAAAATTCCAGTGAGCACAGCAGCCACAGCATGAGTCATGGGCACATGGTGGCAGCAGGGAGCTATGCAGAGAGGGTCCCCTCCCCAGGCAGCCCCCACTCTTGAGCAGAGAACTGGATTTCAAACAAATGCAGCAATGGTATTCACTAGATACGATGCTGAAAATGAACTGTACAACTTGTTGGTGAGATGGAAAGGGAAAACTGGAAGAGGGAAAGAGGGGAGCCAATGTTCAAAAGGAAAAGTACTTTTTTTCTGAGAGATGTAACTGTGGCCCCTCTGTTTAAGCATTTTTAGATAAAAAGAATAAAAAATTACAGATAACCTTAAAAATAAGAAAGAGAAAAGAAACAAATGAGACAAGATGGAAGTTTTCTGAGAGCTCCTAGAAGAGAAGAACGCACAGGGGCACGTGGGTAGTAAGGGGATGGGGCAGCCACACAGGGGAGGGGGGCCAGGGACCCCCAGCTGAGCCAGCTCCTCCTGCTGTGTGTGTCACAAGATCAGGGCTAGCCCTCACCTGACAGACCAGAGCACCAGCACCAGCCGGGAGAAGTGCAGATCCCTCCCGGACAGCCTGGATGCCCAGAGTAGGTCACAGTAGGACACAGTCCACGGCAAAGGTACCAAAGATTCACGCACTGATGGAGCCTCTCTGTCTGAATAGCCCAGGATAGTCCTGGCAGATTTGTGCCTAGGTTATGATGGTCTCTACTCCATGTACTCTCTCTCTCTCTCTCTCTCCTTTGCTCTCTGTTTCTCTCTGTCTTTGTCTCTTTGTCTCTCTCTCTGTCTCTCTCTCTCTCTCTTTCTTGCCAGTCCTGGGCTTGAACTCAGGGATTGGGCATTATCCTGAGCCTCTTTTGCTCAAAACTAGCACTCTACTACTTAAGCCACAGCACCACTTCTGGATTTTTCTGTTTTTGTGGTAGTAAGGACTAGAACCCAGGGCTTCATGCATTTTAGGTAAGCACTCTCCCAAAAGCCTCATTCCCCGCCCCTCCTAGCACTCTTCCTTTCCAATGAATCTTACATATCCTTTGGGACTGCAAGGTCACTTTGTCAAGGCGGCCATCTGGACAATTTCTCAGGACATAGACAGACTGTAGTCCCGTCCCCTCATCTTCACTCCAATGGGTTGTTTCATCCTATGGCCACTACAGAGGCCTCTGGTCTGGGGAAACGTGACAGGTGGATGAGGAGGGAAGAATGAACAGGGCTGTGGAGGCAGCAAAGGCAGGCCTTGGCACCAGTGGTGCAGGAGGAAAGCCATAGTGAGAAACATGCCTGCCACAAGGGGAAGTCAAGAAGTGAGGAATCCCTTATTCTAAGAAGCTGGGATATCTATCATTCAGGCCTGCAACCACTAGGAAAATGGCATCTTGAGAGAGAAGGGCAGCTAGGCCAGGGCATGGGCAGCAGAATAATAGAATATTGTAGCATAAGGGGGGGTAGGGGCTGTCCAGGCATGAGGTCAAGAGTCAGCAGAGGTCAGTCATGCATACAACTAGAGGATCATGGGAGAACCAGGAAGAACAGGACCAGGAGGAAATGCAGTCAGCTCTGAGTGGGATGGATCACACTGCCCACCAGGGGACTGAAACTGAATAGGAAGGAAACCTTCATGCAGGACCAGGAACCTGGGTAGAACCACAGAGGGGTCCTGTCAGAGACCATCTTGGGGGAGACTGGAAAGGGTTTCTGAGAATCCAGCTGCTGAAAATCTCAACAAATCTCACAGGATCTTGAGAAGCTGGAAGCAGGAAGAAGCTGGAAGAGCAATGGTCCCTTAAGAGTTGTCATCCCCATCCACAGCTTCCTTCATAGTTCACAGAATGCTCCAGCCCATCATCTGTCTCCTTTGACCCTCCATCCAGTCTCACTTGGCAGATTGGGAAACTGAGGCCTGTCAGGTCACTTAGGGTTAGCAGAGCTTCCAGGCTAGAAACGTGGAGCAGAGCCACCTCATCCCCAAGTGTCAACCTCGAAGCCCATCTCCTTGTCCGGGAGGGGGTCTTCGCGGATGTCTGGCAGCCCATAGTACAAGTCTTCCTCTTCCTCCTCAGGCTCATCGGGGCTTGTATCTGCAGAATCCTTCCTCTTTTCCTTTGCCTTCAGAGATGGCTGCAAGATTTAGGGTTGGGCTGCATCCTGTTAGTGCTTCTCTGGAGCTGTGTCATCCAATGCAGGGGTGTCATTGATTAGGGCATGGAAGGGGTCCAAAGGCCCATGGAGCTTGTGGCCTCTGTGGCCAAGAATGCAGCTCCTCCCTGTCAGTTGGAGATGAGTTAGGGCTGCGGCCTTCACTGGAGGCTCTGTCCTTCCAGGAAGGAAGCCAAGGGTGCAGGGGCCAAGGGACAGGCCAGGGGACTGCAGGGGTAAAAACAGGTTAAGAGTTGCTCTGAGTCAGATTGCCTGGTCAGATCGCCCCATCACAGCTAGCAGCTGCAAGGCCTGAGGAAAGTTCACCTCTCTGAGCCTCAGTATCCCTCCCTGGAAGGTGAGAAGAAATAAGAGTACCCATTCCTGAGCCTGTTTCTGAGAGTTATAGCTGATAACAATGTGCAAAGCACATTGCACAATGCCTGGCATGTGGTAGATGCTCAAAGCAGGTCTGTTAGATTACTGTGAGGAATACACCTCCAGTCATCCATATCTCCAGCCATCCCTCATCTCCTCTGGTCTCTCACAACACTTGTCACCCCAAGAGTCCCTCTGTTATCTCCTTTGGTTGCCTCACAAGACCAGCGTTCTGGAAGCCTGGAGGCCAGGCAGGCCTAGAAGGGAGCTTGTGCCAGGTTCTAACTGTGGAATGAGTAAACAAGTGGATGAGTCAGGAGCTCAGTCACAAGCAAGCAGACACAGGCGTGCAGGGGGACAGCCTGGCCTGTGGTCACTGGGAGGTTGACAGCAGTGGACTCACGTCCTCTGCTTTCTTGTCCTCAGCACTCATGACAAACATCCAGAGAAAGCAAGAACCTTCTGTGTGCCAGGCATCAGAAATGTATTACTCCAAGCTTCACAACACCCCTGGGTATGTGGGAAAGACTATTCATTTGGGGAAACTGAGGCTCCAGAGAGTAAGAGAATTGCCAAGTTGACACAGCAAAGACCTGGTTTTGCAGCCAGGCCCATCTGACCCATAGTCTGCTCATGTGTTTGCTGCTGCCTTCAGGTCTCACATCCCCTGCTGTCTGTTCCTCCCTCCCAAGTGCCCTCCACCCCTGGTAACCCAACAACTCTCCCCTCCTTTGCACACTCGCCTGCCCTGAACCTGAGTTCCTTCTTGTTCCTTCTGGTCCAAACTCCTATGGACAACCACGGCAGGCTCCACCCAGGTCTGAGTATCATGATAGCCACCCTCTCCTCCACCGCTGGCTCCTGACTTCAGCTCAGGGGTCAGTAGCAGGTGGGGGTTCTCACTGTAGCCCCTGACCTTCATGTGGATGTGGCTGAAGTTGGGTAGTCTCTGGTCATAGGCGACTTCCTCCCTCAGAATAACATAGAGGGATGGGGGCAGAGGGCCACACAAAAGACAGGGAAAGAGAGAAGGGGCGAGAGACAGGGAGAGGGCGAGGGAGAAGGAGAGAGAGAAGCCAGACAAGTGAGCAAAAATTGCATATATTAATCATTTTTTGAAAAAAAGAAAAATAATTGCAGTTGACCTTGCCAAAGTTTAATGAAAGGCCTTTATATTATACAGTCTAGAACTATTTCTAAACTTCCAGAATAAAGGATATGTGATTGCTATTCATCATAAGTATAAAGGTAATGGACCAAAACCCAAAACAAAACAACACTAAAACCTAAGCGACTCTACCGAAGGTGAACATAGTCCCTCCACTATGAAATTTTCAACCCAGTTCTCATCACAGTGTACGGATATTGTCATCATCGTCATCACTATTATCACCATCACCTGCATAATCACCACCATGATCATCACTATAACCTCCATCACAATTTTTATCACCATCTCACTACTATCACCACCACCATCATCACCATCACCACCATCACTTTAATCAACATCACCTTCGTAATCACCAAGACCACCATTATCATCACCATCATAACCACCATCGTCTCTCTCAGTAAAACTACCAACAGCAATACTGAAAACCAATGCGACCACCATCACTATGATTGCCTTCATCACCACCAGCTGCTGTGGTCCGGGGCTCTGGCAGAGCAGGCAGGAACAAGGAGTGGGGGCCTCAGAGGCAGCTCTCCCTTCCAGTCCTTCCTCTTCTCCCTGTTCCAACGCAGCTGGAACAGACTCCACATCCCCACCCACTAGCTCTGCCCTCATTCCATTCCTCATCCTTGGGCATGAGAATGCTGGCTCTCACTGACTATGCTTTACCATTGTAATGAGTCAACACAGGAGACCAGCTGGTGCTGGCCCAGCCACCACAGCCATGCCACAAGGAGTGGACTCGATGTCTCCTCAGTTCCTGCAGTCTTGGGTTCAAATCCTGACATCATGTTTCCCACCTACACAGAAGCAGTCTCACAGCAACTCTGTTGCTTCTGGACATCAGCCTGACTACTTTCTCACTCAGCATGGCTGCTCCCTTTCCTTCATCCATCAACTGAAGGGGAAGCTCCAGCTTCCTTCCGTGGCAGCTCAGCCCCATTCCTGTCTATCTGTACTTGCTCCCCTGCCTGCCAGCCAGCAGCCACGCTGACCCATTGACCTCATTCTCTTATCACCGCTTTGCTCATGCCCTTCTTCTGCCTGGAAGAATTCTTATTTAACCTGTAAAACCCCAGCTCACTATGAAGTTTATTTCATAGATAACTGTTCTCCCCCAGACCCTCAGCCACTCAAAAGCAGGGAGAGCCTATTTTGTGTTTGCCTTGGCTACCACCACCCTCATATCCTAGCTAACACTTTTCTTCCCATATATTTATACCTCAGTCAATCCGTAAAATTTGAGCATTTGAAGTGTTCTATAGGCCTGGGTTCTAAGAGCCCAGGAGAAGCCGAGGATGAGCCTGGGAACACAGTGGTCCAGGTTGTCTTCACCCCCATGTGTATCCATTGTTTCTCTATTTTTTGTTGGGCTGAACAATTTTGTACCAATAATGGGGTTTGAACTTAGGGCCTGAGTGCTGCCCCTTACCTTTATTCACTCAAGGTTGATGCTCTACTACTTGAGCCAGTCTGTGCACTGCTGTGGTAGAACCTCTCTGCTTGGTTCTCTTGCTCACTCCAGTTCTAAATGTAGCCTATTTGAGACTGTTGTGACTACAAGACTATAGAATGAAAGGTTTTGCCTAATCAGTGGTCAGAGTACAAGATTTGTGTTTTATTGCCTTTTAATTGACATAGAATTAATTGGTTAGATGAGGACATATAGAACACACGTAAAGGACTTGGTATAGCAAATCTCACCCTTCATTTTAACTATATGAACCATAATTTCCCGGTCTTTGCCTAAGGATCAGAATTTCCAATGATCCTTAGCTAGTTAACACATGACCTTAATGATGTTGACCCTTAGAAGACTGTGCCTAGTACCTGACAACACTGGGTTCTTGGTACCTCAGGAAACCATAATCTCATCCTCAAATCCCTTAGCGGAGCCTTCAGAGATGGGAAAGTGTGACTCTGGAGGGCCATGTGCTCTGAAGGAAAGCTTCCTTTGGCCCCTACAGGGTTGGCAGATGTTGGCAGAAAAACTCGAGCAAATAATCCCGAGTCTCGCATGTGGATTGACACTTGTGTGGAGACCAAGGAAACAGAGCTGCTGCCAAGCTCCTGTCCCATGAGCACACAAGAGAGGGGTAAGCGGTGGCTTTGTCTTCATTGCCACAAGAGAAACTCCTTTGTTTTTATATTTTATGGGAGAAAGACGAACTGCATTTGGGAGTGTAGGAAAATTTTTTTAATATTACAGTAATATTGAGTAGTAATATCCCATTTGAAATGATGTAAAGATATGTGGTAAAACTCCCTTACACTGTAAAGTAGTGGCTGAAGAATTGTGTTTACATGGACGTTTGTGTTTAATATGTCTCCCTCTCCATATAGCATTGCCCATGGGTCTGGTGGAGAGCTCTGGGCTTAGGCTTGGACCTTGAAGAAAAGCTATCAGGATCAAAACAAACATTCACTAAGCTCTTGAAGGTACTTTCTGATACGATTAAGACTGAAAAGAGCAATAAAAACACTGTGTTCTGCAGAAGCACAGGCTGAACCCTTGGCCGTCAATCCTAAGGAAGTTATTGTGGCTCACAAAACAGATTTTTTAAGTGAAATTAAAAGCACTTTCAGATAAAATTTTTATCCAGTTTGACTTCTTAAAATTTATCTTTTTAAGGGTGGGTTTGAGATGTTTGGGTGGGTAAATGGGCATTTTGACAACATGGCTTCTCCTTTGGCATGTGTAATTGTGCTGTTTAACCGACATCCTTGCAGTTTAAGATGACACTTTAAAATAAAATTCTCCCAATGGTGACTTGAGCCCTGGCACTACAGGAGAATCAGCAGACCTTGTAGGATCTTATTTGGAATTGACATTCTCTATTGTAATTTTATTCATTTATTATTAAATTTTGTTTTGTTTTCACTGGAAAGGAAAGATGATGCGGAGTTTTAAACGTTAAAAGTGTACAAGTTGATTTGTTACAATAAAACTAAATGTGTACAAAAAAGGGTTTGATGCTTTTCTTTCAGAATGGACATAGTTGATCTGACCTTCCTAGTTTGACATGTATAATAACGTCACTGTCGAACTGTCCCCTGACTTCAGATGTTTTGATATGCACTTTGCAGGATGACCTCAGGGCAGTATAGATCTAGAATAAAGGGATTTCAATTAAAAAAATACCTTTTTAGGGCTTGGAGACATATTGAATAAACTGTAGTCTCAAACCATGTGACCTGCAATCATATGCTTTAACCTGATCAAAACTGCTGTGGCCCTTTAACATAGGTTGTACATGAAGTTAGGAATCTTGGTTTGGAGACACTGTTTTGTGAGTTTCATTATGTGTAATGCTGAGATTTACCTTGAAATTTTATTTCTCCTCAATGATGAGTAATATAAAAGCAATGTGTAAGAGTGACTTCCTTAGAAATCTCTAAGAGTGACTGAATACTCATCTATTCAGTTATACTGCCCAGTGTAGCATCATAGCTCATCAGATTCAGAGGCCCGGGGCAGTGGAGAAGGAGTAGAAAAAGACCTTTCCTGTATTGTGTACCTTTTGTATATTGAATTGCTTAGTTTCAGTCCTCTTTCAGCTTTAGATACATGCTCTGCCATATTTCACACTCACCGTGTGCAGAGCTTGGGAACCTTGGGAAGTGCCAGATTGCTACTGTCAGCCAGACTTGCCAAGTCAAAAAGGCCCCAAAGTGCCTTTCTGGTTGTTTTGCATCTGTGGGGTCACATGACAGAGGGGCCAACTTCTCTGCTGTGCACATAGCATAGCCCTTTCTTCCCTCCTAAAAAATCCCTTGTAGTCCACAGGCACCATTTCAATTGTGTAAGCCCTACACCCAAGAGAGAGAAGGCCAGCATTGAAGAGAACTGTGCCTCCAAAGCACACAGATGAGTGGAAGATTTTGTATGGTTCCAATGTTCTTATAATTTGGAATGTGGCATTCTAAAGTTGATTTTAAATACCTGATTGCTCCAGGCTCTCTGCTATAGCCGCCCTCCCCCCTCCAACACTTCTCTCCACACCCATTTTTGCTGAAAGAATGTGTGATACATGCATTGAAATGCTGGCAGTGATATGTGTTGGGTTATAGTCGCCAGCAACTGCACTCAGGAGCCAAATTCAGGAGTGAAATTGCCACTTCTAGTCCCTTATTTCCTATGGAAATGATGATGCCCTCCACCCCTGGACCTGCCATCTGTCCTGGAAAGCTACATCAGGATGCTGAACACTCTGCACTTTGATTCATTGTTACATTGTTGCTACAATGAGCATCATTTCTGCTTTGCTAGCAACTATATTATTACCTTTAGCTGCAGTGAACACACCTTCTGTGAACTGTGTTCAAGGTCATACCACAAAGGGTCAATTGTGATAGGCTTCCCTTGGAAGAGTTGTCACTTTCACTGCCAATTTTTATGATGTTTTATAATCTTTCACAAAGTCTACAAATCAAGCAGGAATTACATAATTTGCTCAATGCTTTCCCAAGGAGTTATTATCCAGTACAAATCATGTCCCCACCCACCCCTCTAAAAAGCTAGGTTTCCTGCTCTGTTCCCATTCCTTGTGTCCTGGGTGCTCACATGAGGCCTCTCCCTAGTGTTATTCGATATTTCTCCTTCCCTGCAGGCTAGGCACTTCCTTCTGAATCATGGAGACCAACTCTCTGTAGGAAGCTATTCAGGCACAGGTATGATTCCTGCTGGTTTGGGGTAGGTCCTGGGCCTTCATGAAAGGGGCAAGTGGAGGTGATGGTGGAACTGGAGATCCCAATCTCACATTGGAGCCTTTATCATCCCTTGACTATTGAGCATTTCCCACATGTGACACTGAATTGTCAGAAGACTGGTTGGCAGGAGTTTTGCCTCTGCTGAAATCCCATCATTTATACACTGCCTGAGAAGAGGTAGACATTGCCTAAAATAGTGACACTTGCCAACATTAGCTGGGGACAGGAGTTCCCACAGTGAATGGGATAACTATCTTCGTAAAATGGACAGTGACAACATGTGCTGCGTGAATTGTATACGAAAGCCTGGCAGAACAGTATTCTTCTAAACTGGATGGAACTCACTGCCCAATCATGACTCAAATGCAGCCTGAAATAAGTAGAATGCGTCTCACTAGTGTCCCTGGCAGAAGAGTAGATAGTAATAGGGCCTGTATTTACCCAGCCTCACCCAAATTCTTGTCACCTGAAGTCTCCTTAAACCCAGAAACTTTCCTTTCCCCTAACTGGAAAGCTCTTAATTCATATGGCTCTAGATGTGGTGCAGAAACCTGGCTAAGAATGCTACCTAATGCCAGAAGAGATCACTGCAGGCTAAAATAGAAGACATCCTGGAAAAGAATTTTATCATGCTTAGTCCTTGTTCTTCTCTGGGGTCTTGTAGACCTGGCAGACACCATCTCACCATGGAGCAGGGGGGCTTGTGCTGCAGTGTGACCCCAAAAATAACTCCATGGCAGCATGATAGTTGGAAAGCTAGTCACATGCCAGGCTTGGTTTCAGGTCAAGAACTTTGACTCCTTAGAAACATCTGCAGGTTTGTGAACAGCAGTTCCATGAGCATTCACTGTGCTTGGCCTAGTCCTCTTGACTGGTGGGATGGAAAGGGGTTAGGAACTTGGCTCAGTGGTAGAGCAGATCCTAGGATGAGGCACCACAATTGTGTGTGGGTCTTGGAGAGGCTACAGGTCCACATTCACTGCATTCCTGTAAGATATGCACCAGAGGGAATTTCTGGACTCCTGTAAGTCCAAGCTGAGCCAAGCACTCTCCTTATCACTCAAATAAAACTACATAATCAACCTGGTTACAAAACCTGCAATAAATATCAAGTCACAAAAGCAAAACAGATAAAAAATTGGCTTGCTATAAAAGGGCAACAGAAAACTGACTCATGCCTCTAACTCTAGCTACTCAATTGGCTGAGATCTGAGGATCTCAGTTCCAGCCCAGGCAGGAAAGTCTGTAAGACTCTTATCTACAGGAAACTAATCAAAAAGCTAGAAGTAGAGCTGTGGCTCAATGGATAGAATATTCATCTCGAGGCAAAAAGGCTCAGGAACAGTGCTCGCCCCTGAGTTCAAGCCTCAGAACTGATACAAAGCCAACAGAGACCCTAGTGATAGACAAGTGTTGGTTCATTCTGATATTTATTCACATGTGGGCAGCTGATCCTTACACATGCCACCTGCACCCCTCAGGTGTCCACTCAGCCTCCATGAGTGAGACCACCACAGGAGAAGGCCCATGCCCCCAGGGAGAAGCCCTAGAGCAAGTAGGCTCTGGCTGCCTTCACACCTTGCTCCCCCCAGAAATAAGGTGCCCAGCCTGCCACCTCCCTTTATATCACCTCACTTCGCACTGTATGCCTGGCAGGCCCTCCCCTCTCTGGCCCTGTATCTTGCTCCATAAAGTATGGGTAACCAGTGCATACACTGTAGAGCAGAAGAGGGATCAGGAGAAGTAGGGATGGGGATATGATCTGTCAGCCTCTACTGCAGGTTCTCCCAGTCAGAGACATAGCTGGAGGTGGAGTAGAGCAAGGATAGCAAGGAGAAATTGAGGCATGGCCCTATGGTCTCCTGAGACATGCTTGTCCTGGCTGGGGCTGGCTCTCTCAATCAGTAATTCCTAAGGAGTTTCTACAAATTGAGAAGCCATGAGGGGTCCCCAGCACCAGTCACCCTCATTTGTTCCTGCTAACACTGGCTCCTCTCAATCCAAGTGCCTCCTGCAGACCGGTATCAACTCCTGGAGGCAAATGCACATGAAAGGTGACTTTGCTCATAAGTCTGCCAGGAACCACGCTTGCTGTCAAACCACCCTTCCTTGCTCCTAATGGGGTCCCCTTCTGTAACTCTTCCAGAGAAGGGCACTCAGATGGGAACAAGTTCTCTCAGGGCAAGAGTCTCCACCCCAGTCCTGCCCTGGTCAGCACCACCCGGCAGGCTGAGGTCTTTCCATCCACTCTATGCTTGTCCTGAAGGCTGGATGCGGCAGCAGATGGCAGTGACTATGACAAACTCCTCACTGGTCCTTCCTGTTTCCTCAGGATCCTGGTGCTTCACCACACAGGTGTTGTCCACAGGGAAAGCTCCCAGGGTGACTGAGGTCTCAGGATGGGCACTGCAGCTGGTCAGGGTCCAGCCTGCATCACAGCTCACGGTGACCTGCCAGAGTCCAGACAGCACAAGTAAGGCCAGGTCCCGCATGCATGGTCAGGTCTCTAAGCCACCTGCTACACTGTCCCTCCCAGCAACCCTCAGTGGGGACCAAACTGTGAACACCTGGCTTGGTTCTGCCCCTCACACCCCAAAGGGGCTGTGTCCAACTCTGCCCACCATTCCCTCAAGGTGCTTCAACCCCAACCTACCAGGACACTGCAGCCCAGACAGACATCTCAACAAACCAAAGCCCCTCCCACCTCCCACTTCCCTCCAAGCCACACCTCCCACAGCCTTCCCCACCCAGTGATGGCAACTCCATCCCCCCAGCAGCTCCACAAGACCTTGCAACAGCCCTCCACTCCTTGTTGCAGCTCATCCCAGACCAGAGCCACCAGCCTCAGGTCCCAAACTCCTCCTGCCATGGCCTCTAGAGGCTAGCTCTCAGACTCCAAGAGGCCAAGTGTGACCTGCCCTCCCTTAAGGGACCTTTTTCCTTTTACTCTCCATGGTTGCTCAGTCATTCCAACCCTGAACAACTCCCACTCCGTTTGTTAAGTGCACAGGTGTTAATGTGAGTGTGTGTGTGAGAGAGAGAGAGACACACTGACAGATACAGAGACAGAGATAGAAACAGAGACAGAGACAGACAGCCAATCCTGGGGTTTGAAATCCAGACTTGAGCCTCAGCTCCACTTCCGGCTTCTTGAGGCTGTTAATTGGAGGTGAGAGTTTCACAGACTTCCCTGCCTCCGCTGGCTTTTTACCCCAATCCTCAGATCTCAGCTCCCTGAGTAGCTAGACATACAAGTATGAGTACAGACTCCTGGCTTGCTTTTTTGTTTTATTTAAAGAAATTCTGGGGTTTGAATTCATGAGTGCTAAGCACACTCCCTACCACTTGAGTCACAACTCTGGCCTTTTTTGCTATCGTTATTTTTCAAATACAATCTTGGCCCAGACTATGTGCAGTCCTCCTACCTAAACTACTTAGAGAGAGAGATGGAGAGGGAGAGGGAGAGAGAGACAGAGAGAGAGAGAGAGAGAGAGAGAGAAAGAGAGCTGCTAGTCCAATTGTACCAGCATACCCAGTTTATTTGTTTAGATGGTTTTGTTGTTGTTGTTTTTTAATTACTTTTTGCCGAGGTAGGCCTCAAACTGAGATCCTACTTCTTCCTTATAAGTAGCAGGTATAACAGGCACAGTACTGTGTCTAGCCTCAGCAATACATCTCTCTCTCTCTCTCTCTCTCTCTCGCTCACTCACTCGCTCTAGTTCTGGGGCTTGAATTCAGGGCCTGGACACTTTCCCTGAGCTTCTTTTGCTCAAGGCTAGCACTTTTACCACTTCAGCCATAGCAACACTTCTGGCTTCTTCTGTTTATGTTGTACTGAGGAAATTGAACCCAGGGCTTCATGCATGCTAGGCAAGCACTCTACAAATGAGCCACATTCTCAGCCCAGCACTGCATTTCTTTATGCCCTGTTTATGTGTGCTATCCTCAAAGTGGGACAGGAAACCTGAAGAACAAAACTTACAAATCTGGACAGAAACAAAATCAAGCCACAACACTCACACACACACACACACAGCACAGGTGCATAGATCCTCCACTGTGCACTGACCACCCCAAGAGGATACAGGCCCCAGCCATCTCCACCCCACCTCCCACAACCTCAACCCTTCACCTTCTCCAAGGGGCTTAAAGGCCTGTACATCTTCGTTGTACACTGCAGGCCCGGAGCATGGCAGCAGGAAGCATGGACACTGGCCTCCTTGTGTCCCGCGCACCGTCTGGGCTGATTAGTACCTCTCTTGGGTGTGGTATGTGGGAAGACATCAAGATTCTCCACCTCCCAATGGGAGCTGCAGCCTGGAACAGAAGAGGGCCAGCTCACACACTGGGATGCCAGACACCCTTTCCCTCAATCACGTACTTTATTTTTAGGATCCAACCCCAGGGAAAACCAGGAGCAGCTCTGAGTAGAAGAGACATTGCCTGAGCAGCAGGACTTTTGGCTTAGCTCTGACTTGTAGGACCTTGGGAGAGCAGCTCAACTGCTCTGAGCCATAGTTTCCTGGGAATCGCATGGCCTCCTCTCCACTAAAGAAGGGGAGCCCTGGGACAGGATCCCCAGGCCAGAAATGTTCAGCTACTTCTCACCACAACCCTCTCCCACCTCCGGTCCCTTCCCCATCCATCACCAGCTAGAAGATCAGCCTGAGCTTGGATCTGTGGGCTTGGGAATCAGGGGCACCTGGCTATAAAATTGTGGATGGCTTGCTGGTTTTCATCAAGGCTCAGTTTCCCTATTTGTTAAAACAGCCAGAGCAATACCATCCACTCACAGAGTTGCTGCTTAGCTGAAGCAGAACATGCCTGGGTAGTCCCCGTACTGCTCATGCAGGACCCAGGCTCTGCCCACATTAGGGTTATGGTAGCCAGGACCAGAGCCCCTCTCCCGCTGTGTGGCTTTAAGAAAGGAATTCAGCCACTTTACCTGCAAATGGAACTTGGCATGGGCTACACAGTGAGTGCCTGTGGCTCTGCCAGCTTTGCCAAAGGCCAGGCTCCCTGCCAGGCCAGCAGCCACATAGAGCTCTTGTCCTGGACAAGGCTCTAGACACTGGGCTCATCTGACTGCTGCAAATCCTAATCCAGCCAGCTTTTAACCCCACCTGACCCTTACTATTCCAGAGCCTTTAGACTCCCCAGTGCTTAGCTGTCCAAGATCAGCTCCTGACTTAGTGATTCAAGATAATTCCTAGAGCCCCTTAAGCCCCACCTGGTACCAAGCACCTTCTGAGCATGGCTATAGCCCAAGATCCACAGTGCCTAGCTCCTCAGTGCAGCCCTCACCCATGACTTCCAGACACTTTCCTGGGCAAGTTTGACAGAAGGTCCTTAGCCCAAAGAAAGGACTTCAGAGTAATGGCCAATAACCATGACCACCAGAAAGCATACTGTCCCAGGATTAGAGCTGAGCATTCACAATGAGGACACTAAAGCATAGGGCTGAGAAGGAACTTGCCAGCTACTGAGTGGCAGTTGGAATCAACCTGAGCTGTGCCCCACTTCTGACAGGCCTGAACTATGACTCCCCACCACACAGCTGGTAAACAGCTCCCAGTGCCCAAGCTGGAGCCCATCTGCCATCCCTCTCATCGCTGCCACTGAGGCAGGTGAGGAAGAGAGTGGTAAACAGAGAGAGAGGTGAACCTACCCAAGGCCACATGGCATGCAAGCTGTACATCTGGCTTATGAATCTTGAGGCTCCTAAATCTGTTGCTCACACTCATGGGGACCAAGTATGGGACAAGGCTCCTGCCCAGCAGGAGGTAGTGCCTCTGACTCACCCTGGCAGGACCAGCCCCTACCTGTCAGGACTTGGTCAGGATCCGGGCAGTGGGTGTAGGTCTTCAGCCCCACCAAGGCGGGAGCAGCTGTGTGGATGCTGCAGTTGGCTCGGCGGAGCAGGCAGCATCTGGCCACCGCAGAAACCTGACTATCTCCAAATGCCAGGCAAACGCGTCTGTTTCCTAGGATCTGAGAGTCCAAGAGAGAAATGGGAACTTGCTGTGAACAGGTTTAGGGACTGGGGAACCTGGTCTGAGAGTGACCCCTTCTACAAGTTCTGGCTCCTGAGTCCTCAGCACTGGTTGGGCCCAGGCAGGCTCTGCTGCCATGAGCAGCTCAGCTATGAATCTTCCCAACACTGACAATGGCTTCCAAGTGGAGACAAGGAGACCTGATAAAGCAGCACAGGACCTATGGGCTCCCTGACGCACCTGGCCTCTCCTGAGAAACCTCCCTAACACATTGACTTCTGCACAGAAATATTCACCCACCTCACCTTCATGGCCCCCTACCCTTCCCAGGGAAAACTAGGGTCTGGGAACTCCATCAGCTACTTCTGCACCTTTGAAGTTCTCAGCTCACAGAGCCTCTGTCATCCCAACCTGAGGGTCCTGGTTGTGGATGTTCTTGGTTGGCAGGGCGAAGGAAGGGGTGTGTCAGTCCTGGGACTTGAACTCAGGGCCTAGGTGCTGTCCCTCAGCTTTAGCAATCAAGCCTGGCACTCTACCAGCAGAGTTGCAACGCCCCTTCACGATTAGTTGGAGATAAGAACTGCATGAAATTTACTGGACTGGCTGTTGAACCAAGATCCTCAGATCTAAGCCTCCCGAGGCATTAGAACAACAGGCATGAGACAAAAACACCCAGCATAGAGATGGCTTTAGGCAAGGCAGAGAGCCGAAGCCACCGCTGTCCTTTCCCTCCTGTGCCCATGAGGGTGCTGTCTGTCCGGAGTCCCCCAGGAGCACCTGGCCCTGCCCAGGCCTTTGAAGTGGAGACAGGGATTAGAATCCAGAGGACAGAGGACTGGGCACACAGAGTGTGCAGCTCACCCCCACACGCTCGCCCTGCCGCTTCCCACTCTGGGAGAAACTGGAGCAGCCCAGCAGCTCCTCCTCCGGGTCACAGTGAGCCTCAGCAGCATGTGTCAGCCTGAATTCCCAGGGTTCTGACCACACAGTCCTGCAGAACATCTGTCCACCTGCAACAAGAACAGGATAAGGAGTCTCTTGGAGATTCCAGAAAAAGCTTCAACCCGAGCTGAGGGAGAGAAACTAAGACACCACATGAAACTTTGAGGTAAAACTATAGAGTTACAACAATTCCGTGGAGCCTGGAGTCCTATCTGAGGAGGACAGTCCTTCTGTCAACCAGGTTGGGGACTGTCACCATCTCATGGGCCTCTCACACCCCATGTTGGCCTCTGCCTACCCACCTGTCCTGCTCACCTGTTTCCTGGGTGCTTGGGGGCAGTGCAGCCACCAGGTTGGGGGTCTTGACTCGCTGTTCTACAGGGAACCAGGTGTCATTGATAGCATTGCTGATAGAGTAATGGAGCAGCCTCTGCCTCAGCTCAGCCACAGTGAGGTTTGGCTGGGCAGTGAGCATCAGGGCTGCTATGCCTGATGGAGGAAGGAAAAAATCAGACAAGGTAATGGCCTGACCTTCCATCCTAGCTGGGAACTCCTTTTAGGCACAAATGCACACACATGCACACATGATGTGCTCTTCCCAAAATTAAGCCACCTGCAATCCCTTGCCTAGTGAAAGCTTGTCCTATTACCTCCAGGACTTGGTACTGGCCATTGTGTTTACCCTCCAAAGCCCAGCGATGCAAAGTGCACCATTACCACCAGGTCTGCCCATTTGGTCCTCCTGCACAGAGCCTGGCATATGGAGGATCTGGCTAAAGCGGTAGCTGGAATCCTGGTGGTCAGGACAGTGGCGTAGTGACTCACCAGCCACATGGGCAGCCGCCTGCGCAGTCCCACTCTTTCTTACATAACAAATGGTACAGTCCTTGTCAGCACTGACAATGCTTTTCCCAGGAGCAAAGATGTCCACACAGGAGCCATAGTTGGTCCCCAGAGGTCCCTGGGTGAAAGGCTGGTCCTGGGAATCGACAGCTCCAACAGTGATGACCTGGAATGTGGCAAAGAGTTGAGGAAAAGGCTTCAGGGGCAGACTGATCAACACCTATACTACCTTTTAAGGCCCCATGCACATGTCCCCTTCTGAGGAAAATCTGGCTCATGAGCACAGCTGATACCCTGTCCTGTTCCGGGACTTCCACAGGATATAGACAGTGCTCCCCATGCGTAATGTACATAATAGGGAGACAAATACTAAACATATAATGCTGTCATCAAGAAGACAGCATAATCAGCCAGGCTGGGTACAGGTGGTTTTAAGTTCAGCATCTCTGTAGGCCTGTTGGGCCAGTCTCAGGGGAAGAGGGAGAGTGAAGCAGCTTCCCCACATTTCAGGGCCCAGAAATCGGGGAAGTGGAACAGGTGTCCTCTTCCTGGTACTGCCAGACAAGCCCCACACAAAACAGTGGCTCTGCAAATGTCAATCAGGAGGGGAGGCATGCCACAGATGGAGGATTCGATGCGAGGGGGTGGGGTTAAGGTAGGGATGTGGTTTAAAGGAAGGGCAGGACTAGCCCAAACCCTTCTCACACTGGGGTTTGGGGAGGCTGGCCCTCTGACAACCTGCAAGGCAGGACGTGTGAGCAGGAAGCCCTGCTGGCACCTACCTCAGGAGCCGACGCTGGAGAGTAGGCACAGGCATTGCTCTGAAAGTTGCCCGCAGCGGCCACCAGCACTGCTCCAGCCCTTGCCAGGCGCTTGCAGGCATTGTTGATGCTCTGACTGTACCCACTCACCAGGGGCAGCAGCACTACCATGCGCTTGGAGGGATTGGAGACCAGCTTTTTCCAAAGAAACTCCAAGCCTGACAGAACAAAGCCAAGATGACTACCTGGAGAGGGACACGCTTCCTTCCTCCAACCCCTTCCCTCCAAAACAGCAGTGATGCTCATTATTGACAACTCTATGATACTGTGTTGTGTTAAATGCATCTTAGTTCACACACACACACACGACATGGTTAACATTTATATCCATTATTCTTTTTGTTTTAATGACTTCTGTTAAGGTAGTAAGCCTTGCTTACTATGATGGCTCAATCACATGATGGCTCAAAGGAAGCAGGCATTCTGCCTACACACAAACTTCTGATTCAAGACTGCAAGCATTTCTGGGTCTGGGAAGGTGGCTCAGTATAGAGCGCTTGTCTTACATGCCTGGGGCCCTGCGTTCGATTTCTCAGCACCACATAAGCAAAAAGAAATTTAAAAAGCTGGAAGTGGTGCTGTAGCTCAAGTACAGCGTCAGCCTTGAGCTGAAGAGCTGAGAGACAGTGCCCAGGCCCAGAGTTCAAGCCCCACGACCGGATCCAAAAAAAAAAAAACTACAGGCATTTCTAGCCTGCCTGGCCGGGCCTGCAGATTGGAGGCTCAACCGCCAGATGGCAAGAGTCACTCCTCAGATCTTGACCACACACACACACACACACACACACACACACACACACACACACACACGTCCGTGTGTACACATGGGAGTTATTAATCAGATTGCAGCTGCAAACTGGCCAGTCCCCAGGACTTCCCCTGCCCGCCTCTCTAGATGACTGGTTTACAAGATGCTTGCAACAACCTGTCCTTACACTTGTCCAGGACACAGGTCTTGAGGTGGAAGCTTGGTGTTCTGAGACTGAAGGCAGACTTCACGATCACCCACCACACTCTAGGCCTGGCTCCAGTGTCTCTTAGAGCATCCCACCCACAGGAACCTGAGCCTGTCCTGGCTGCCTGCTGCCAGCGGTCAACCCCATTATAAAACAGGCACAGGTACTCTGGAGGTCTCCAGGGTTCCAAGGGCAGCTGGCTGCCATCCTAGGGAAATGGGGCTCCCTCACAACTATGATCTGCCTTTGGCCACCCAGCATGACCTGGAGTCCTGGGTTCTAAACCTGCCTAGGCCAGGCACCTGCAGCAAACAACCCTATATGCTCAGCTCCTGGCAACACACTTGTGTCGCTACACTGACCCCTTAACCACTCCTGGATCTGGGCCTCGGTGGCCAAGGGAGGAGTTGGAATCTTACTGCCACATGCCTAGAGGACAGCTGCTGAGGAGGGAGGGGGAGTGGGCATGGCAGTGGGGGTGACAAGCGCAGTCACAGCTGTAGTTATTAGACCGCTGCTGTGTGCAAAGCTCTGTGCTCAGTCACACCTCATTTCAGTCACTGTGCACAGAGGAACTGCTGATTGCGGTGGAGGTGACAGCTCCTCTGTGTGAGCCCTGCTCTGGCCGGGTGATGCCATGACCGAGACTCCAAAGAGGGGCTGCTCTTCCCTGGGCCAGGCCCAGCATCAAAGCCTTCCCTCCACTCATCACCTTTGGGAATCAAAGGTCAAGGCCAAGGTCAATCAGCAGAGGCATGAGACAGGCACAGGAGTCACTGCGATGAGCCAGGGACTCTTGATCCCTGCCTGCAATGGAACACAAAGCTGGAGCCTCTGTGAATAAGATTTGGGGCAGTGTGTACCTCTGGACTCCATGCAGTTGAGCATCTGACCAGGGGCCTGGGCTCTTGGGGGAGGTCAGTCAGCCTCCACCCAGTATCTTCTCTGTGAGCAGTTTCTTCTCAGTGAGCCTGGACAAGTCGCCCTCTCTAACTGGCTTCACTAACTGTTAATGGATGTCACCTGCCAGCCCCAGGTGTGGCGTCCAGAGCCCTTGGCTCAGCCATTGGCCACCGCAGCTCTGTGCAGAGCTCCCTCCTTGTTCCCTGTCCATGGCCACGACAGGCCTGGCTCTCAGCAGGACCTCTCAGACCCGGGCCCCACCTCTCCTCTCCATGCAGTGGATGAAGAAACCTGGGACAGTCTGGACAAGGGGTTGCCGGTTCCTCCACCAAGTCTGCTCAGCCAAGGTGACATATGGAGACAAACTAAGAGAAATGAGCCCCACCATGCTTGGAGGGGAAACTGGCTTCCTTTCTTTCTCCTCAGGGTCTGTGGAGATCTAAGCCCACATGACAAATGACACAGAATTGTGAAAGCTCAGAGCACACGGAATGGAGAAGGAGCATGGAACAGGAGCTCACTTGGGCTGGGTCTCTGCTCCCTTGAGCCCTCAGTCTCTCCACCTGCACTGGCAACCTTGAGGGTTCTGCCACTCCACCACCGGTACTCTGTGGCAGAGGCTACCATGCCCTCTTGGGTCTGGAGACATTGCTCCTCCCTGGCTGAAGCCCCTCCCCCCATGGCCAGATGGAAAGACAACAGAATGGGAGCTGCCACTCACCCATGAGGATGCCGCTGACCTTGCCCTTCCCTTGGCAGTTGAGCACACGTAGGCTGTGTATCTTGATGTCCTTGGCCACGCCAACAATCTGACCGCTGACCAGAGCTGCCAGGTGGGTACCATGGCCTACACAATTGTCCTCCTGCTCCATCAACACAAAGACCAGATAAGAAAGTCATCTACCCCATGATTTCCCAACAGACCCCGGATGGACTGCAATGCCCACCCTCCCTTGCCTACAGCTGACAACTGGGGATGGACGGTGATGGCTGGAGAGGGTGGCCTTGGGGCTCCAGGTCTGGTGGTCCTCATCATCCTCTGGGATGGGCTGGGGAAGGATGGCTCACCTGTGTCCTGGGCACACTGGTGCTCTGCCACTCCTCCTCAGGCACTCTCTCAAAGTTAGAGATGTTGATCATGCCCTTAATTTCCATGTGATTAGGCTCGATGCTAGTGCCCAAGAGATACACCTCCACGGGGCTGTCCCTCTCTTCCCACAGTGACATTTGTGCGAGATGAGGAAAAGAAGAACCGGAAGGATGATGTTACAGGTGGTCATGTGTCTCAATGATGGCATGCTCTGCTTACCAATTATGCACACTGTTTCAAGGAATGTACATGAACTTAATCTTCGAAAAGTCCTCCCACTAGCTCCTATTGGGAATATTTTATTGACCAGGCCAGTGAGACAAGAGATGTACAAGTCATTATGTTGAAAACAAACTTTACAACTTTGATGGGGTGGGGAGGATTGGGTGGAGGACGGGGGGGGGAGGTAGGGGGGGGAAGGCATGGGAAGGGAAGGGAAGGGGAAACAAAGGAGGAGGCTATAATGCTTGATAAGAAATGTACTCATTATCTTGCCCATGTAATTGTAACCCCTCTGTACAATATTTTCACAATAAAAAAAAACAGATAGGAAACTGTCCAAACCATGTAGGTGGCCAATTTGAGAGTATCAGGAAACTCCCCAATAGCATGCTGCCTGGGTCTTGTTATCAACTCAAATGGCCCAGCTCCACCTTGAGCTCTGTCATTGGCTGGGAACAACCCAGGAGGCAGGGCCTCAGTGACCTGCTGCTACTACTGGTTCTCTTGAGGCAGGATTACAGCAGCACAAGCTCTATGGTTGTCCTGCTGACCAACTCAAACTGCAGTTCTTGAAACCAGAAATTCAAGATAAAATGATCAGCCATGCTACCCTCCCTCTGAAGCTTCTGAATAACAAGCCTCCATGTCCTTGTCCTCTTTTTTTCTGGTGGTTGCTGGCTTTCTGTGATTTAGAGCCACCTCACTCCAAGTTCTACCATCTCCACAGAACCTCCTCCTCTAATCTCCATTCTCTTACAAGGTTTAGGTTTGAGGATAACAAACAGGCTGGTCACCTGTGCTCTTGGTCTCTCTATTAATGAAGGACAGCATTGATACTCCCAGCCTACATTATAGCTGACCGTATGGTACTTCCCCTATCCTGTCCCAGCCCAACAGCTTCTAAATGGCCTCTTCTAGCCAAGCCCTTGAGGAGACTCTAGCCCTGTCCCCCAATCCTCCAGGGAGAGACAAGGTCATCATGGGCATCCCTAGGGGACAGGAAACAGACTGTCTACTCCAAACCTGCAGGAGAGGTGGTCACTAGTGGCCCCAGAACAGATCCTTTTAGACCTATCTGGAGGCTAGAGGTGTAGCTCAGTGGTAACCTCATAAATGTGAAGCCCTGGATTCCAATTCCAGTACCACCACCAGACCTTATCTGGATAAGAGATCTTTCCAGTAAAAGATCATCCAGGATGAACCAATGGCCCTAAATTCAATTCAAAGTGGACTCACACAAGAAGGAAGGGAAGGCTCAGCATAGTTGCTCAAATCAATAATACCTGCTATCTGTGAGTCAGAGACCAGTGCATCCAGGTACAAGGCCACCCCAGGCAAACAGTTCACAAGACCTCATCTCAACCGATAGCTAGCAGTTACTCAGCAACCAAACCAAGGAGGATTGTGGCATAGGTCTCATATTTCTCGCATAAACATGAGAGCTTATCTGAAAATAACTACTATGTAAATGGCTCAACTGGTAAAGGACCTGTCTCCCAAGAAGGAGGCCCTGAGTGTAAATTCCAAGACTGTAAAGGAGGAAAAAATGAATAAAGTTGGGCATCAGTGTCTCAAGCCTCTTATCTACTTGGGAAGGTGAGATCTAGGACATTAAAGGTGTGAAGCCAGCCTGGGCAGAGACGTCCTCTAGACTCCATCTCCAATTACCTAGCACACTCGTTTCCAGGCATCTGTGTCCGGCTTGCCTAACACTACAGGGTGCAGTCAGAACCTCTGATCCTCTCCCAGGCAGGTGCCCTTACTGCCTTCCCCAGCCCAGTGACACTGGGACGCCACACCCCCACCCCCACCCATACAGTTATTTTCCTGGTCTCCTCCTCTGCCTCTCTCTGCACAGGCAGAAGGAAATGTGGGCAGAGAGGCTTGGAGGCCGGGGGAGACCAGAGACCTAGATGGGGGAAGCTCTGGAGATCTGGTCTTATTTTGAGGACTGAAAGCTATAGAGATTAGAGACTGTAAGTCACAGTTAAGTCCAGCCTCCTCCTCTGTCAAGATTGGCCTGCAGGAGAGAAGATGAGAGAAGGTATTATGAAGGTGGTTATTCAGGCACCAGTGGCTCAGGCCTGTAATCCTTGCTACTCAGGAAGCTGAGATCTGAGGGTGGCAGTTCAAAACTTACCCTACAGAAAAGTCTGTGAGGTTGTTATCTCTAATTAACCAGCAAAAAGTTGAAAGTATAGGTGTGATTCACGTGGTAGAGCACTACTTTTGAGCTGAAAAATAATGAAGGGACATCACCCAGGCCCTGAGTTCAAGGCCCCAAATTTTACAAAATTCAGGTACAATAAGAATCTTAGGCAAATGTCTCTGTATTGTGCACTGAGTACCAGCAGGGGGCGCACACACAAGTGGGGTGAGGAGAGGACAGAAAGAAAACAGGCAGGTGGCCAGGAGCCAGGACAGGGAGGAGATGTGGGCCATGGCAGCTGTGGTCTTACTGCTGTGGTTGAAGCTAGGAGACTGGTTCCACTCAGGAGATATCCGCCGCAGGTTCCACAGGATGCTCCGAATCTGGTTCCGGTGACGGAAAACCAGATGCGGGGTCCACAGGAGGCTCTGTGCAAAGGCAAAGGAATCCTCCTCGATGAACTTCACCCGCCTCAGACTCAGGACCTGCGGATGCCAAGGACACAGGATCTCAATTTCATGAGTCACTTAACCAGCAGCACCCAGCACTTGCCGCACCTGATCCCACCAGTGTCCCCAGCATGGCCATCCACAGTCCCCCTCCCATGGACCAGAAGACAAACCAGGGTCCTCACTGTTCTCCTAGGCTTGGGAGTGGAGGAAGCTGGGACCAGTGCCCCACAACTGGTAGCTGAGCCCACATGAGTGGCAGGAGGGATTCAGCTTGCACATCTCATCTGGGAGCCAGGAAGTGCCAGTTCTAGGCAGGCTGGACAGTGGGGGAAGGCCCTTGGGCCTGGACTCCATGTGCACATCAGGATGTCAGCACTGGCCATCCTGGGTGTCACTCCCTTTCCCTGTATTTCCTTCTTTAGACCACAGTGTTATGAACCCTAATGGTGGCAACTGGGTGCTGAGCCAATGTGGAAGGTGGGGGATATGGGAGATGGTAGAGACACCAGCAGGAATTGAGGACATAGTGTGTGTGTGTGTGTGTGTGTGTGTGTGTGTGTGTGTGTGTGTGTGTGTTCATCCCTCTCCCTGCTCTGGAGCATACCCCACTTGCACACCCTCTGGGCTCTCCCTGACCTTTCTCTCACCTTAGCTGTGGGCACAGGCTGCAATGCACCAACACAAAGACAATGGCCAGGTGAGTCAGTAGCTGGGGGTCCAGCTCTACCTTCTGAGGCCATGTGGTCCCTCTGCACTGAGATCCCTCCTGCTTTGATGAGGGTGAATGGACAAAGTACTATTAGGGTAAATGGCCAGGTTAACAAAGAAGCTGACTGAGGAGGCTGGCATCACCTGCATCACTGAAATAGAGACACTCCAGTACTCAGTAACTGTCTGCTGTCTCCTGAGTGTCCACCAGAGGGTGAGTGCAGGACTTTCCACAGCAGAGGGAAGTGCATGCCTGAGCAGGGACTCACCAGGTCCAGTGCGCTCACTTTGTCAGATTTCATCAGGATGCCAGGAAAGGGGTCTTTGAAGATGTGCAGCACTTCGAACATGAAGCCCAGGCTGGCAGCCTTGCTCTGAAGGTAGTGGACAATACTCTCCATCTGCTGCCTCTCAGATTCCGTGAAAACCACCAGGTAGGAGTCGGGCACCTTCCAGGCACTCTGGCCCCAAGGGAGGAAAAGGAGCATGAGGACATCAAAAGAAAGACCCCGGCCCTGTCTACAGATCAACTTAGAGGCGAGGAGATCCAGGACATAGAAAGACTACAGATACCAGCTGACTCGGTGATGCTTAAACCTCTCCACAACACACACAAAGCCCCACTGACATCACCCACAAACAGATCCACACACTTGTAAACAAGGCATCCATTTCCTAGGGAAACTGTATGTCACCCTCAGCAACAGGTCCCTGGGGGAGCACACAGATGTGCTCTCCAAGCCCTAGACAGATCTGGTCACCCCTGCAGCTTTGTCTAAAAGCCATCACTCCTAGTCAACCCAGTGTCCCAACCTCCTTCCCAGTCTAACACGTCTCCATTTCTCCCCACCAGAAGCAGCCCAAGAAGCCTCACACACTTCAGAGCCAGGAAAATATGGATCTGAGCCCTACCACGCCCAACAGTTATTGGCCAGGAGCAAGCCACTTAACCATCCTGTGCCTCAGAGTCTCTGTATTCCAGAGACTGCACTACCCACATCACACCAAGTCCAGGGAATCAGAGCACGGCCGCTTCCACAGGGAGAGAAGAGGCTCTGTGGGCCGTGGTTTCTCATTACTGTAATGGAAGGATAGGTTGAAAAAGATTTTCCACTTGTAAAACACAAAGAAGTCTTCATTCTGGGCCAGTGTGGCCTCTCTATGAGTGAAGGGACTGCTGTGTACCGTCCACATGGTACCTGCTCTACCCTGTCCCAGTCCAACAGCTCCTAATGGGCCCATCTCAGCCAATAGCTAGACATGGTAGTGGGCACATACCATCCCAGCTCCATTGACCTTAAGGGAAAAATAGCCAGAACAATATAGAGGCAGTAGATTGGATCCAAGCACATTGTATGCATGTATGTAAATACCACAATGAAACCCCTTTAGACAACTCATGTGTGCTAATAAGACATTGAGAGCACCAAGGGGCTGGAGGGATGCTCAAGTGGTGGATGCTGCCTAGCAAGGGCGATGCACTCAGTTCCAATCCCAACACACTTCACACATGCATTCTAAATCTGACTCCACCAAAATGCTAATGGGATGAATATGTGGACCTGAGGAACTTCCTGGAACAAACTCCCACCAGGGATGAACATCC